TTTCAAAACAGTAACTGCTTTCCATGAGTAATAATGCTAATTTCCAAATACAGTAAACTTCCAATAATCCGGCACCTTTGGGACCCAGGGGGTGCCGGATTATTGGATATGCCGGAGTATCAGGAGGTACTCCAGAAGGCAGTCTGGGGGGCAGCGGGGAACGGCACGGCGTGGGGCGAACCCTCCACCATTTTGCAGGGAGGCAGGGGAAGCCCCGCGCAGCCGCCTGCTGCAAGCCAGCTAGGGCTGCAAGCAGGTTCCGGGGACGGTCATGTAATTCAAAAAACGTTCCCTAAAAAAAAATCGTGCTATCACAAAAACGTGTTAAGCGAGCACATGTTAAATGAGGAATTACTGTACTAGAAAGCTCCCCTCTGGAGGAAGGAACACATCTCTGTCCAGCAGCAAGCATTCACCCAGGGCTCTGGCACATGTGTCTCTTTCCATGGGCTGGGCAGTAGATTTTACTTTTTCCCAGAGCAGTTAAGCACTGAACAGACATTTCATATTATAGACTTGTTAGTGCAGAAGGCTTTAAGCAGGAGCAGCTCCAATTGTCCAGCTGGCCGGAGTACTTCCGGGTTCCAGTTGGTGCGGGACTATTGGGAGTGCCGGACCACTGGATGCTAGACAACTGGAGTTTTACTCTAGCAGTAATGTGGACACTGCAGTGCCGCTATTTTAAAATAACTACTTCCCAGAGTAAGCCAAACTAATTACTCCCTAGTGCTTTCTGGGGCTCTAAATTGAGGTAGTGCATCCACATTAATGGAGCTTGCTTCCGACTAATTTTGATGCTTCTCCGTGGTATGGACATGCTATTTCAAAATTATTTCAGGAGTAATTATTTCAAAATAATTTCCTAGTGTAGACATGCCCTAAGAATATATTAGTTTGTTTTTCCAGTAATGCCTGCCACCATGCTGAAGATTATATAAAATTTCTGGCCAACCTGAACAGTGTGTTTTAAAAAGAGGACTCCTTCTCCCTACATACCAAAGCTGAAACCCATAGGATCACACATGTTAACAACTGAAAAGACTTTTTCCCTCCAGTATTTTTGGGAATCCCACATTGTCAGTCAATACAAGTTACAAAAAGCAGAGAAAATTTGATAGAGATTCAGTAATGATGATGGACTAGCAAATGACAAGTCTGACAGTGAAAATAAATATAAAATTAATTGAGGAGTTGAGTTGTAGTCCAACGATCTTGAGTCCAACTTTTAAATGGAGAATATTGGAGAAAGATTTTAAAACATTTTCTAAATTATTCTGAAATTCTGTAATACCTAAAGCTTGTCCTAGAGGCACTGATCAAAATGAATGCCCTTCCATTGCCTAAATCACTTTGTTCCTCCCCCAACTCATTTCCCCTTGAAAAACGTGTCTGTTTCTGCTCAGTCATATGCAAGAGGTGCCTATATAAATACCCAAATTATAGTGTTTCGCTCTGGCTGCAGTTGTGCTCCAAAGAGAGTACTATCTACTATACCCAAGTATGAAAAAAAAGGTGAGCAAAAAACTCTACTCTAAAAAAAAGAGTGGTTCAGAACTGGCCTGCTGATGAGCATTCACTGCAGCTGAAATGCCAGATTTATACCCCCTAAAGAAGGGTGGAAGCATACTCTACCCTGTTTTAACATAAGAATAAGGCAGCACTAGAGATGCTATTTATTAGTGTGATGTACTTTTCTTCACTATATAAGAGATACAACAGAAATCTTTTCCAACTTATTGCATTAAATGGAACAAAGCAAACGTTTTACCATGTCAAAGTCTTGTGATGAACTTGTATACAAGAGAGTTACTTTAGAGCAAGATTTCGTAACTTACTTCAGTATCACAGACTAAATCAAAAGTTAGAAGTGCTTCTAAAAAGTGTCTTTGTTTTGCAGTTTCACAACACACTGTCAAATTAAGAATCTTTAAATTTAAGAATTTAAATCAATGTCAGAGGAACAGAAAACACACTCATTTCAGGAAACAAAGCCACATTTCCTATTCATTCTTTCCGTATGTTAACATTTATATGCATCCAAGCTTAAGTACAAGCATACAAGCTTAATTCTATTTCTCATAAAAGAATTATTCTCAGAAACAGAAAATATCCTGCATTTGAAGGTTTATTTAATGCTTTGCATATTGTGAATTCATCAAGCGACACTGATATTTAATTACAAAATAAATTCTGATCTCATGTCTCTGGGTTAGGGATGTTAAATATTGGTTAATTGAATAGTCGATTAACCTAATGAATTCTTATCAGTTACTCGACTATTCTATAGTCCCAGGGTGCTCTGGCCCCACTCCCAAGAAGTCCCCTGCCACTCTGTGTGGCTGCTTCTGTATAATGGGGTGCCAGGCAGCAGCTGGTCTGCAAGGAGAGCCAGTTTAAAAACCAGCTCCCCTATCAGACTGGCTGCCTGTTGCCCCACGCTGCTGCCTCTGATCCAGAGGCAGCAGCACGGGATGGCAGCAGCCCCAGCCTGGGGGGAGAGGTCTGAGCTTCCAGATCCGGCATGAGCCAGAACTGAGCCAGGCTGCCTGCCCATCTGGCTCCCAATACACTTCAAATGCAGAGCTGCAGAGAGGGTAGGTCCCAGACTGCTGAGCTAGGCCGCTGGCCAATACGGCGGGGGGGGGGGGGGGGGGAGGAGAAGCACTTAGTCTATAGCATTAACCAATAATCTTTTGCTTATCGGTTAATCAGCCACACGATGACATCCATACTCTGGGTAAACATCTGCAAAGAGTTGTCATAATTCAAGAGAAATCATCTGCTAAGTACCTAAATCTATAGCTATAGTAATGTGATTTTAGACATGTGCTGTTAAAAAATAAAAGCAGATCTTGGGGATAGAAAAGAAGTTCCTCCATACACAGCAAAGTTAAAATACCAGGACAGCAAACAATATACATGTAAATGACATTATTTTACTACTGTTTATAAAGTAACTGCTTCTACTAGTGTCTGTACCTTTCCACCCACGCATCCCCATTTTTATCATGAAGATTAACTTTATACTTAAAGATTCTGTTTGTAAAGACCCTAATGAGTATGATAGAAACTCAAAAGGCTTTTTCGAGGCAGTTTTTAGCCATACAAAATGATTTTTTTTCCTGACACACTATTTGGGTGTTACATCTTCCTCTACCTCTAGTCTTGTCTATTAAGATTGTAAGTTCTTTGGAGATGGAACACTCTTCTACTATGTTTGTTCAGCACCTAGTACAAAGGGATCCCCATTCTTGGTTGGCCCTTATGCACTACAATAAGCTATTAATACAACAACAAAACTGCCAGCAAAAGTAATACATTGATATCCTGTCATATTCTCTGCCTTAATTAGCACAAGTTCCACGCAAAGCGTCCTGAAAGCGAGACACAATATTCCCAACTCTGTTCATAGTCCACTTAGGGTATGTATTTTAGACTTCCAGCTTCCAGCCATCACCTCTATTGGGTGGGGGTCCACATTTCATTTTCTCTTAACAGGGATTTTAAGACAGCACAGCTCCCTGCTTTATCACTGTGATATCCCCAGCAAGCCAGGCCACCTAAAAAAAAGCCACCACCGTGCTCTGCTTTTTCTCTGAGAGCTATGACCAAAATATTGCCTGCAGTTATAAGTTACCACCCTGCTCCTTCCAAGAATAAATGAGCTGCTTAAGGTAAAAAGCATTACAGAGAAAACAATAAAAGAACCTGCACACATGCTAAAAAGCTTACCAGACATCACCCCGGTTCCAACACAGGGGTCCAATTCATTTTAGTACTTCAAGGTGAAGGAGTGGATTTTCCCTGTAACTACAAGTTCATCTTTTTTTCAGTCCAGAACCAGACCCCAGGCTGAGCAAACAGAGAAGCCAACAGACTTCCCAGGGCAAGATGTGGCGGTGGGGGTGCCTCCAGCTACAGCTGCTCCTGCAGTAATGGTGCAGGGAGCCCTGGGTCCACCACCAGTCATGGGCCTGAGGGCATATTGCTTTATACAGCTCAGGCCTTTGATCTTGGCCTTCTGTAACAGCATAAAATGACCCGCTCCTCAGGATGTAACTTCAAAAGGCTATTTTTTTTTGCATAACTAGAATTGGGGAATTTGCATTAACCTCTCCTTAGGGATTCCCCAGGAAATACACTTAACACTTACTATCCCAAAAGTCCCTACTTGCCAGGTGTAATCTCAATATAGTCTGTTGAACAACTAATTCTCACATCTGTGTTGTAAGCAAAACTCGTGAAGTCATTCTGCTGCTCTACTCTGCACTAGTTAGGCCTCAGCTGGAGTACTGTGTCCAGTTCTGGGCGCCACATTTCAAGAAAGATGTGGAGAAATTGGAAAGGGTACAGAGAAGAGCGACAAGAATGATTAAAGGTTTAGAGAACATGACCTATGAAGCCAGGCTTCATGAACTGGGCTTGTTTAGTTTGGAAAAAAGAAGATTAAGGGGGGACATGATAGCGGTTTTCAAATATCTAAAAGGGTGTCACAAGGAGGAAGGAGAAAATTTGTTCCTCTTGGTTTCTGAGGACAGGACAAGGAGTAATGAGCTTAAAGTGCAGCAAGGGAGGTTTAGATTGGACATTAGGAAAAAATTCCTAACTGACAGGGTGGTCAAATATTGGAATAAATTGCCAAGGGAGGTGGTGGAATCTCCCTCTCTGGAGATATTTAAGAACAGGTTGGATAGACATCTGTCAGGGATGGTGTAGACGGAGCTTGGTCCTGCCTTGAGGGCGGGGGGCTTGACTCGATGACCTCTTGAGGTCCCTTCCAGTCCTATTATTCTATGATTCTGTCACATCTCCTCTCTAAAGAGGTTTCACATAATCCCAGCCCACAATAATACATACATTTAATACTACAAGGTCTCTGAAGGATATTTCCATATGTGACACACTTGGTATTTATGATCAGCTGGGATGCATCAGAAACAAGCTTTTGAGGTGTAAATGGCCAAGGCCCAAAAGAATGAAAATATTATTTCTCGTTTTACCTTACAGGCTGGGATGGATTTCTGCCCAGAGTTTTGTGCTCAGTAGATATCTGCTGAGACTGTGATCCAGAACATGAGAACTGATGCTGTCTGGTTCCCACAGCATACTGCTGTCGAGGAGATAGCACTGACTGGGTTTTTATTGGTTTGCTTTGATTCTTTGGCCCTCTGCAGTCTGCTTCTGTGACAAGTGCAAAAACATTTTATAAGATATTTCTCACAATTACCAGACAGCACACCTGGCAACAAACTTTTCTACAATTAGAAAGGATAAGAATCTTACCAGACTGAACATTTTGTCCACATGCTGAAGAGAATTTTTTTATCTTTTTCCCTGACACAGTGTTCCAGCCTTCCATAGGAGATGCCTGTGGAAGTGGTTTAAGGCTTTTCAGTGAGACAGAATGCCTGCATAACAGGAGAAAAATATAAAGAGGTCTATAGACTGCACTGGGGTTTGAATAATTAGCACCAGATGTTTACCTACAACAGATGGCTCTTTTCTGCTCCTGAGAGAACTATATTCAAGTTTTCTTGCTCTTGTATTTTACCCATTGCATGAGGCTAACCAAGGGAGAAATAAAATTAACACACCTTATAGTTTTGAGTTCTCAGAAAAATAAATAAGACTCCAAACTGAAACAGTATTCAACCATTTGTATAGAATACATGCAATATTAACTCAAAAATATTTGCTGATGAATATAACCCAAACACAAGTTTTGTTAAAAAATTTACAGAAAAGAGGAGGAATAGCTTATCAGTTTTCACATATGAAATAGATGTCTGTGTGTCAGGACATTAAAGTAAGGCAGAGGGGGATAATAGGAACATTCTAGTCATGAAATCAGGGACTATGTGTACCTTTCACCCTTTGATTAAATAGTCATTATAAAGCAAATTAAAGAAAATATTATGACAGACAACTTTATCAGCACTTTCTAAAGCTTTGTGGACAAACAAGTACATATTCCTTGTTTTGAAAACTACAGGGCTTTTCTTAATCTTACAGAATGTCACACTAGGCAGATAAATCCAGCAGGAACTCCATGACAGATTTAGGGATATAGACAAGTATAAACCAGCTTTAAATCACTGAACATTGATTACTTTTATTTAGGCAGACAGTATAACTGAAAGTGGCATTTGAATTATCTGAAATGAAGTTATTCAGGTCTGAGGGAGCGGAGGTGGGTGTGAGTTAATGGTTCAAGCGGATATGTAACTGATTGTTACTTCAAGCACCTATTAAAATCACACAAGGCAGTTACTATAGCAAATTTACAACATAAAATACATTTTTGCAAGATGACATTGCAATTGCCCAGTGTCTCATTCCTTCCCAGTGTTATGGCTGGAGAAAGTGTTCCCTGTCTGGTGTCCTCCCTACAAACCTTAGCATTGGAGAGATTTCCCTCAACAACTGTACTCAACCCTTTTGTGATCAGGAGACGCTTTTCTCAAGTTTGACCTGTCTACACGGGGCCAAATTTTGGAAAAAACTCCTCTTTCAGAACATCCCTTATTCCTCTCTGAGGGGAATACAGGGATGCCGAAAGAACACGTCTGCTTTTTTGGAAACTACCCTGGAAAAGCTATGCAGTCTAGAACAAAGAAAAATAGGAGTCCTATTGAAAGAAGTTACAGTCCCTGCAATACAACCTAATAGAGATGGCTCAGATAACTGAGCCATTATGTTGCCATGATGTCTGGAGAAAAATACATGAGTACTATTTCAATCAACACATAGCTCTTTCTGCATGAAATCAGGGAGATGTAAAGAGTTAATTAGCTATTACATGATTCTGTTATTCCCTTCACAATACTTTTAACATTAAAACTTAGCTACAGTTCTAGCATGCAAGTATATAGAAACATTAGCAATAATTCCCTGGTGGGGCAGTAGCTTACTATCTAGGTTTGAAGTTTATACAGAAAATGCTCTAATTTGACTTTATTAAAAATAAATATACCATAATTTCCACAGACACACTGCTACAAGATGTTTTTATGCTTTGTGTAGATGGGGTGGGGATTAAATTAACCCTTTTGTAATAGCAACATTACATTGTGCAGAGAGTTTCAGCTGCTGTTGAAATGCGATATAAAGTAGTGCTATAGTAAAATGATCAAACAGCTGGTGTCAAACACAGAAGGGGGGAAGCTGCATTAATAATAAAGTTCTATATGATAAAAGTCTACATAAAAATGTTTACTTACTTTTCTCCAAGCTCTTCTACAAAAACAACAAATGGCCCATTATCAGAGCAAACCTCTTGGATATGGGCATTATAATATTTCCCATTGGGATCTAGGCGCACCTGTGAAAAAATATTAGGGAAAAAAAACATTGTGAGTGTTACATTAAGAACATACCCCTCCTCTCCCTCCCCCCCCCCCCCAAAAAAAAAGAAATAGATGGTATAGGCCTCAAACACTCAGCAATGTCAACAGCTGCTCCTTGATCTCCCCTTCCTCCCCCAAGGTCCCCTCCCACTCACTCTGGAAATAATAGAAGTCCTGGGAGACATCAAGAAATGTTACTTCAGTGACAGTGTTAAAAATAATCAAAGGGGTAAATTTTAGCCATACTACTTGTTTGAATGAACTCTCACTCACACACACACACACACACACACACACACACACACGATTCCCCAGCAGTAATACTCTATAAAGCTTTGGAGAAAATTATAGCCTTCAAGCTACTTGGAATTAAAAAAAAAAAAAAAAAACCATCAGAGGTTAGGATAGCAGTTTACTATTTTGAAAGAGTGCTAATGTTCTTCTTGGTTAAAATTGTAGCAAACATATTTTGGACACAGGATGGGACTTTATTAATGTAGCATCCTAGGGATGCTAAATACAATACTGCCAGTCCTTTCGAAGTTTACCTCCTTAAACATTGTTAGTGCTTTTATTAAAACAAAAAAAACAAAAACAAAAACCCATGTATTTTATTTTAAAAAAACCAAACAGTCATGATTAACTCCAGTTTATGCAGACAAAAATCTTTACATTTCTAAGATTAAGAAACAATAAAAAGTTTATGGGCATTTTATGTGCTGATACCACACTTATCACATGTTTCACAGTTTTCTTTATCCTGTTCTCCTCATCCCACTTGGTCGTTAGTTTGTTATGGGGGTTGTTTTTTAAATGCAGGTATCTTCATCCTGTCATACACAGGGATTCTAAAATCCCAGGAGCAAAGAGAATATGTGCATATAGTGCCTATTATAATGGAGCCCTGAATCCAAAATAGATCCTCTAGGTATTACAATAATACAGTAGAATGCTGGATGCATAATGAAAATATGGTTAACTATTAACATTTTCCCCACTTGGTTTTGAGTCAACATTTATTGTTTTCAAGCATCCAATCACTATTTTTTCAAGCAGGAAATTCAAAAGTACAGATGCCACTTTTCCCTGTTCCAATAATGTGTGCTCGGATATTACATTTAGTAATTACATTTTTTCTTATAATTCGTACTAATAATGCCGAAAATGAACAAGCTTTCCATTACTTTCAATAGTTTTCACAGGGCATGGTTGGGAACACTACTTAAAGCAAAATCTCCATCTTACTAACTCTGCTTCAGTGTCTTCATCCTTTTTCACTGTAGATATCACCAGCATTCTTGCAGAAAACAACTATTTTATTCCTAGCTAGAAACTTTAAAAAAAAAAAAAAAACCCACACCCAAGATCTTCTACAATCATAAAATCAAGATTGGGTACAAAACTTTGAGAGAGGCGCACAAGTTAGTTTTTGGATGGGGTCTTAGGCCCTGAGCCTTCAAATACTTATGCCCGTGTTTCAACTGAAGCACATCAACTGCCCGACTGAATATAACTTGGGAAGTTAAGCACATAAATGAGGCATTTTGCACAATAAATTTTGTCACACTTCATGCTCCTCATGCGCATCCTACTGAATCTTTATTGGAAGAGTTTCCAACTCAGGGTATTCATATAATGAGCACACACAGTTAACTGTAAGCAAAATAGAAAATATTAACAATGCAGTTAAACCAAAAGTCAAGGGAAAATTAATCTCTAGGACAGAAGGTACAGAAGTTACTGTTTCAACCAACTACTTACTTTACATTTATCGCCAACTGAATATTGCATGCCAGCAGCAATTGAAAAATCCCGTTTTTGCTGATCTGTAAACAACATCAGTATATAACAATTAAAATAATTTTCCACCTATTATAAAAATAGTGTAGGCACTGCAACAAAATACCATCTAATTTAATTTAACTTGTTATCTTTTATAACAGTGGTCACCAACCAGTAGCTCGGGATCTACCAGTAGATCTTGGAGCCCCTGACAGGTGATCCTGAGCAGTTTGGACAGGGAGCCATGGAGTGCTGGTTCTTCAGTTGCCCCTCCAACTACTGTCATGCTGCTCCTGCCCTCCCCCTTGGAGCTGCCCCCCTTGTAAGCCTCCTGCTTGCTGTGCAGGGTGTGGGAAGGCCAAGACAGAGAGCTCTGATGTCAGTGTCCCTCCTCCTCACACTCCTATACCCTATCTTCACACAGAGGGTATGGAGAGAACTTGGCAATGCAAATCTCTGTCACTTTCACACAGTGTGTGTGTGTCTGTCTGTCTGTCTCTCTCACAAACACACACTGTCCTTCAGTCTCATCTTCTGACCCAATGCATACATGGGGAGTTGTTATTTCTTTTACTGCTTGCAAAGTGGTTTACTTTTTGGTTTTTGACAGGTCTGTGAGTTTCATAATTTTCATTTCTCTCTAATGTTTAAATTTAATTCCTTTGAGTAGTGAGTTCTAAAATGCCTAACCTGTCATGGCTGGAGTAATTATTCCTATGGTAATTGCTGCTCCTGGTAGTGGCTGGCATGTCCCTGCAGCCCCTGAGAAAGGCAAAGCAGGGGGTCTCCACATGCTGTCCTTGCCTGCAGACACCACTCCTGCAGCTCCCATTGATCAGTAATGAGGAACCATGCCAGTAGAAGCTGTGGGCTCAGTGCCAGTAGATGAGGGGCAGCACATGGTGCCATGGAACCATTACTGAACATGCCAGTTGCTTTCAGGAGTGGTGCAGAACCAGAGCAAGAGTAAGCTGCCTTAACCCTTCCGTTCCACCACCCAGAAGCAGTCTGAGTTAAACAGTACCCAGCCAGATCCTGCTTCCTGAACCCGCCCCAGCCCTGAACCTCCTTCTGTACCCAACCTCCTGCCCCAGACCTAAGACCCCCTGCACCCAAGCTCATATCTTGAAACCCATCCTGGACCAAGCCTAGAGCCTCTCTCACACTCCAAACCCTTTGGCCTAAGACCAGAGCCTGCACCCCAACCCTCTATCCCAGCCTGGTGAAACTGAGTGAGTATGGGGGAGGAAGTGGGTTGGAGTGAGCATAGTGAGGCCTCGGAGAAGGGGTAGAGCAGGGGCAGAGCCTCAAAGAAGGGATGGGAAGGAAGTGGAGGAAGGGTATTTGGGTTTGAGGTAGCTCTTACATTGCACTTAAATTGAAAAAGTGATCTTGTGGTTAAAAGTAGAGACCACTGCTTTAGAATCTTGGAACAGAAATAATCACTTAGTCCCTGAAAGTACATCTATACTGCAAGGTCTTTGCGCAAAAATGGCCATTTTTGCACAAATACCTGCAGAGCATCCACACCTTAAATGCGCTTTTGCGCAAGTAAATCAGTATTAAAATGGCAGAACAGAGGGCTTTTGCCAGTGTAGGTAAACCTCCTTCTACAAGGCATAACTCACTCCCTTTTGTGCTACAACTATTGTGCAAAAAGGCAAGTGTGGATGCTTCAGAGGGGTTTCTTGCACAAGAAACCTCTGAGAAAAATTCACATTCTGTGAATGGCCATCAGAGCTTTCTTGTGCAAAAGCATCCATGCACTGTGGACGCTCTCTTGCACAAAGCACACCACTTTTGCAATGCGCTTTGAGGTGTGGGTGTGCTCTTGCACAAGAAGCCTGCAGTGTAGACTAAGCCTGAATCTGCAAGCTGACTTATGTGGGCAGATCTCTGAACCTGCTCATAGCATTACTGGGGACTCACAGGGCCCATGCTTATAGATCGACTTGCAAGAGATGGGCTGTGGATGGGGCCTTAAATGCTAACTTACCCTGTTTTGATTGTAGCCAAACTTCATATTCAACATTTCTGTAAACTGATGGATTGAGTGACTTAAGAATTTTTTTAGGCAAAAATGAGGTGGGATTTCCATTGTTCTTAAGGTGCTGTGCAAAACAGAACGAAGTAGTAAGTGGCCAAATTCATGCAGCTTTATAGCCACTCATTTACTATCTTTTCATTCACATAAGATTCAAACTGGTATGTAAAGCATTTAGGTGCTCATAAAAGCATTAACAGCTACCTATGAAAGTATAAGTCAAGGGAATTTCCTTTCAACATATAGCAATGAAGCTACACACTTCACTAAGCAATAAAAAGGGTCCCTAATCCTGACATTTCAAATGCAAATCTGAATATAATTTTAAAAGCTATAGTTTTCCTAATGTACCCTACCTAAAAAATGAAGTAACTCAAGTTACTTGAGAAACACTAACACCTCTGTAAAATACAGGCAAGTACAACTAAGTAGGAAGAAATGTTAATGTAAAAATACCTTGCTGCCAGAAAGAGACTTTAATCCATTCATATCAGTAACTGCAGTAGTTTTACTTCTGGAAAGGAGAAGACGTTTTAAATTATAGTAGTTGTAATTAGGACTCTCACACAGGTCAGAAATACCTTCCATATTATATACACAACAATAACCCCTAACCTTCATAATTACTAAGTTCCCAAAAATAAAAAGCTACTCATTACATGCATAAATAAAATTCTGTACAGTTCCAAATTAGATTTAGCAACTCACTCAGTAAAAATTTCAAATAGGAAATGTAAGTCCTTTAGATGAAACTTCAGTAATCAGACCCGAGAGAACACAACTCAACTGAAGAAACAAACGAGACCCTCTAATCAACCCATATTTATTACCTAGCCTAAGTCTGGTCCTTATAGGTTTCCCTCATCTTCTATACCTGCTGCATTGGAAAGTTTGCTTCCCATGAACAGAGGGGAAATAAAATATCTTATTTCTAAGAAAATTTCATCTTCTGTATTTAAACTCTTCACTACTTCATTACATAATAGCAGCTATGGCAAAGTTTTTATTTCTATAAAAATTAGATTTACTCTTAAAAAAAGTTCCCTCCAGATAAACCATTAAAGAAACACACTATGCTGCTTCCTAATAACATGAAAAAAATAATATTGCTTAACAAAAGCATCAAAGTATATCCATTTGTGTTAAGACAGGAGTACAGTTACATGCACTAGCTTTATCCAGATTTCCAATGAGCAAAAGTCAAAACTAAAATGAATTTAGGTTTCAGTCAAGTTTCAAGTGACTATATGCCATCTTGGTTGCAAAAACATCTTATGATGTAGCATCATATCCAGATAAGCATCTATACACTGACATACTACAAAAGCCATGCTGCTGGGAATCACCCCAATTGACCCAGAATCCCCAACAGAAGGGGAAGCAGTTGAAGCAGATTTTTGTCTAAATTCTGACATAACTGAGAGCATTGTAAATCTGGAATAATTCCAATGTTGCCTATGGAGTCAACAAGATCAGAATTTGACTTTTCTGTAGAAGCTTCCACAAGCTTCCTCTCATGGTTTTCAGCATCATAAGAATCCAGCAGGGCCAGTCCCCATACTTCATTGCATTCCCTCCTCCATATATGGAGCTGGAACACTGCCAAATTCCCCAGAGAAAGACTTCTGCAATTTGACAGAAAGAGGGGGAATGTAGTGGGGGTAGCACTTTCTCTAATACATGTGATCCAAACTTGGAATACAGGCATAAACCACCACAAAATCCTATATATTATCTAGTTAAAAGTACAAATTTCATAATTTGTTGCACATTACAATTTGCCCTTGATCTTTTTCTTCTCTTTAAAAGTGTTTATAAAAATGAAAATTTTGTTCCAACAGCTCTACTGAATATCTAATCACTATGAATTGCTCAACCATAATTTAATAATTAATTAATTTTAAAATATCTCTTACTTGCAGTTGTCTTCTGAATCTGAATCAGACACTTCACTGTTACCATTATTTTCTTCTGTCATGCTTAGTTCCACTAGGATTTTATTCACATCAATACAAAATACTTTTTCATACAACAGCTCATAAAGAAGAGCTGGGAGAAAAAAAAATACATTCAAACTTAATAACTGCAAATGAAATGTTCCTCCATAAATGCTGAGTTTATTTTAAATGGTGTCAAGAAAATTTTTGAAATGTTACCTGAAGAAGAAATGGAGTTATAGTTTACAGACTATAGGAACCAGATTTTTACAAGTGGAGTCCCCATCGATTTCAACTGAGAGTGCTCAGCACTACTAAAAAGTAAGCCCTCAGCTCTTTGAGGTAGTGACTTTGACACCAATTGTGCAATTACATGGGCATGCACACTGAGGCCTTGATTTTTCAATAGGGCAATGTCTGTAGAGTACCTGGCACAATGGCCCCTCATACTGAAATAGAGGCCTTTGAGCACTACAGCAAATACCAATAAAAGAATCCAAAAGACAAAGTTCATTTAAGGGCTAACCCTACAATTCTCATTCATGCTCATTAACACTCCTGACTTGAGTGGAAATTCAGACATGCTAAGACTCCAAAATTAACAATGACATTCTCTCAATGTTTAAATACAGATATACAACTGCTGCTGTGACTAAGTGATAATGCAATTCACTATGAATTAGGAGGTGAAGTCTAAATGATAATTAGAATCCAGACCTAATAAAGAAGAAATAAGCTATTTCTTTTGCATTTAGCTTTACCTACGATAAATACTTCTCTCTTTCCTTTACTACACACAATCAATTTAATCATGTTTCAAAAGATGACAAGATCATAACTGAAGTGTCTGGCGACAATGATGCAGCCTTAATTAGATGTAGTTCTACATGAGTTGAAAACCACATCACTACAATGGTATGTTTTAATACAATATACTTTAAGCAAAGGAAAAGAAATCTAGATGAAAATGTATTAATAGCTCAAAACAAAAGGTGATCGCTTTTTTGGACCTTTGGTGAAGCCACATGCTTTAATGAGAAGCTTACCAACCAAAATAGTACTTACATTGGCACAAAGCAGCTCTTTGTGTATACTCTATAGGATAAACAATATCATAGTGATTTCCATTTGAAAAACACAGTAGTACCTAGGGAAGAACAGAGAAAGGATATTTAAACAAGTGATTTATTGTGTGATGATTTTATAAAGTTAACAACACTTTTAATGCAGTTCTATGCATCCACATATTGTGTTGCAAAATTTTCAGGGCTTCATAATTTCTAGACATAAAAATAGCGAACATTTTCTGTGGCTATTCACTGGATCTAGTCACATAAAAAATTCTGCTAATACAGGAAAAAAATTAGATAAGAGGTTTGATTTGTAGCAGATAATTTGACATTATGCACCAATAATAAGGAATTTAAGACTCGCCCCATTTAAATAAACCAACTACATATTAGTATCAAACTGAATAATTACCAAATATAAACATACAGTGTATCACAATAAGAGTTATTCTTATTGCATAACTGCATTCTGTTGCTTCATTCTATTAAGCCTCCAAAATTAGGGGCTACACTGTTTTAATCTGTTTGTTTTTTTCATTATGAAGAGAAGACTGTGACACTCAAATTGTAACAAGTCCTAAGCTACTAAAAATATACATTACTAATACAGGTTGGACCTCCTAAAACCAGGACTCTTTGGTCTGTCAATGCCTGGAGACCAGGGAGTCCTGGCTGGGAGCCCAGTGGCAAGAGGGCTGGCAGCCCCAGCAGCTGGACCAGGGACACAGTAGCCCTGGATGAGGAGAGATGGGGCAGCTAGGGCCAGCAGCAGGGAGAGGTAGTGGGCTGGGGAGGTGAATAGCTGGAGATCTCCCCTGGTCTGGCAAATTCCCTTGTTTGGGATCAGTCAGGTCCCAAGGGTGCTGGACCGGAGCAGTCCAACCTCTATGACATTTGTGATTACGTATTTTGTTTAAGAACATTTTAATTTGTAAGTGCACCTTCGTCTTAAAAATAGTTTTATTTGGCTTTGGTTTTACCTGGTCAGGAAAGCCATTTTCAGTGACATGTGAAGGTGAAGCATTTGGTTCCTGATATATTATAAAATCCTTCCTAGAGAAAAAAATTCGAGTGAGAATTCAAGGAATATCTGAGCTTAAAAAAAAATGCTTAAAATAACTCAAAAGAAACAGTGAATAATGTTAGTTTAATAAAAAATTGGTTTATTCACCACCGAAAATTTTGATTTTCTGAACAGAAATTCAAATCCAAAATATTTTGCAGCTCCTGATGCAGCACCTTATGAGAGCTGTAGTTTAGTTGCTTTGTACTCTTATTTTCCTCTATAGGCCAAGTTCTCAGGTTGAACTACATCTCCTGTGGTGCACTATGGTTCACCCCCTGGAGAGGTGAGGCAGCGCATCACAGGAATCCTTGGCCATGCTACATCTTGTAGAAACTCAGTCCATAGAGGACAATAGGGTCATGATGTTACTGAACTATTACTTCCAGATAGCACCACAGCAATATTTATAAGTTAAAAAAAAATGCTAGTTTTCAGATTTAAAACACAAAACACACAAATTGTGCACTAAAACAAAAGAAAACACCTAGGTTTTTTAACTCTGAGCAAGTCAAAGCACTGCATGAAACTAATAAAAGTTAAACTTGTAAACGTGAGACATGACATTCAGTGTTGTACTTTGGACAAATCCATAAGGTATTTTTAGTTAGGATGTTCCTCTCCCCCAAGTATTTATTCAAAGTTTTCATAGAATTTCTCACTCCACTAGTTTAAGGGTTAAAGTACTGTAATCAACAAAGTAACAGTGTATAGAGACCTCTTAAATTGTTTCATTTCTTGTCAAATGGCTAGTGAAATGTAGTGACCATTTGCAACCCAATTGCTACTTTGCATACAAATATTAATAATGTTATAATACGCATGGAGAATAGGCTGCTTCCTTATTTCTACAACAGAGTTGAAGCACATTGCTGAGGCAACATTAGGAAGCTTGGACTATCCCTGCAACAGTAACTGTTGTGCAGTTAGAGAATTTCAATCTCAGGAGCTGTCAATCCAGCATGTTTATGAGAACTGAGTTTCATCTTTTACAAAGACATGCTTTTCAAGATGAAATAACTATCACGCCACACTTAGAAGGATTCATACACACAAACACAAAGAGCCTATTCCATATTATGAATTAGAATATAACAAATTTGCATTTTAAAAAACCTTTTCTTTTATTAATTGAAAAATAGCACATAAAATAAAAATGTGATACCAACTAACTGCAAAATTCAGTTAAAGACATACAAGAACATGAGTGAAAGAGTATCAATCTTTACCCTTTCATTTCCACATTATCAATCTGTCAATCTTAAATGTATATATTATATTTGTCTTTATTCTCTGGATAAAATTCCCGCCTTTTTAGTTCTTTGTTCAGTGATCACTATGTTTCTCTATTTCTTCCTCTACTAAACTAATCGGAAATGACTACTAAGATCTGCAAGATTAATTTATGTGTGCATAGGTAAGTATTTCTAAATAGAAAAATAGTCTAAGCACAAATTTACATGAAATAGTTCTGAAAGGAAAAAATGTATTCTAAGTCTTCTGGACTTAAATTTTTCTGTCTTCCAGATGAGCCATTTCTTTTCAGGGGATCTAGAAAACATTACCAAACACCAAGCAATAAAAAGCTAGTAGCAAAGGCTGTGACAGCTAGGGATGTAAGAAACTAGTCGACTAGGCTCTTGCTACATTTCAAAAGCAGCAGCACTGTGGGAAGCACAGGGCCAGCTGGGGACTCAAGCAGCCCCCTTCCTGATCCCATGCTACCTGCTTTTGAAAAAATACAAGAGCCTCTGGGGGGCTCTTGTACATTTCAAGGTAGAAGTGGCATCGGGAGCACAGGGCCAGTGGGGAACTCAAGCAGTCCCCCCCGGCTGGCTCTGTGCTCCCCATGCCACTTCTGCCTTTGAAATGTAGCAAGAGCCGGTGGGGATCTTGCTACATTTCAAAGGTGAAGGTACCCTTATCAACTAATCAAATAGCCATTGCAAATTCCATCACTATTCAATTAGTTGATTAATCTAAATTTAACATCCCTAGGTGGAGCACAAACTAGGGACATAAAGTGGTTTTAAAATGTAACCGTGTAACCGCTAAAATCCTAGCAATTACATAGCTACATGTGCTGCAGACTCTGCAGTATAAAGCTTAAATAAAGCTTTATACTGCAGAGCCCACAGCAAAGCCTCCCTGGGAGAAGGCCAGACGCCTTCCCCCTCCAGTTACAAATGCATGTAAATGATTCTGCCTAGAGACATAAGTCCAGATTTGGTCCTGGTACTCGCAAGTGAAATGACTGACTTCAATGGAGTTGCATCGGTCTACATTAGTGCTACATCTGGCCCATAACTAACCAGCAAAAAATAATGAAGCAGTAAGACTACCAGCAGTTTGTCTTTACAGACTAAATATGTCCTGGCCAGCAGTTCAATCCGCTTTCATCTATCCAGAGCTTGTGGCTCTAAAACTGAGTCTCATTGACAACTTAAAATGCAAAAAGCATAGAACCTCACGCAAGGCGGCAACTGGAAACTTCATGCACCTAAAGCTCACCTAAGTACTTTGAAAGTAATATTTTATTTACATAGTTGGGCTAAAATAACAGAACATTATGTTGACAAAGACCTAATATTTCAATTGTTTCATTAGCTACATACTTCATATATGCACCCAATTAATTGAAATGGGTCGTATAATAGAAAATATTACCGTATTAAATGGTATTAACATTTTGCTTACTTGTACATAAGGGAAAGGGCACTTATTTCCACTTGTCCAACCCATTCCTGTATTGAAAAGGAAAACAGTTTATTTGAAAGAATTTCTTTGTAAAGTTTTATTGCATATATGGATACATTTAAAGAAAAAAATAACATGTAACATTCTAAGCTTGGATTTTGACTAAAGATTTTACTTTATGTATTCACACTCATTTTGAATTATGGAACAGAAAAATCATACATTTTGTAACTTGGACTAGAGTACGGATGCTGTTTTTCACAACTGTTCTCTACATAAATTTAGAAATCATACATAAGAGATAATGAAAATAAAGTTTTAAAGATACAATTATCAAACACAAGCAAGCAGTATGTAAAATTTTGCAAACTGACTTAGAAGCATACCTCCCACTAGAATTCTCATTGGTGATTTTTATTAGGTGCTTTTGAAAATTGTATCCAATACCTTTAAAACTGTCCTTGCAAGTCTTAAATTAAAAGGACGTGCAAGAGAAATAGGTCTAAATAAACACCCATTCTGAGGGTATGTCTACATTGCATTCCTCTTTTGAGAGAGGAATGCAAATGAGCGAAATTGCAAATGAAGCGAAGATTTGAATTTCCCACGCTTCATTTGCATAATTGCGTCCGGACGCTATTTTGAAATACCCTATTTCGAAAAAAGAAATGCTATTTCAAAATAGCGCCTGGACGCAATTATGCAAATGAAGCGCAGGAAATTCAAATCTTCACTTCATTTGCAATTTTGCTCATTTGCATTCCTCTCTTGAAAGAGGAATGCAATGTAGACATACCAATATGACCTCTCTCAGGGTATTTCTTTTTTTAAAATACAATGGGCACTAAGATACTATGACCTAGATAATACAAAGGTCTTGCCTTTTAGCCTGAAAGACCTTGGTTTCCTAATTACTGCCACTGAGAGGTGGGAAAGAGGATAGACATACATCACTGTATACATCATAGCCAATTAATGTCCACTCCAGTGTTCGGGAGCCAAAACTTGAGGCAGAAAGTTGTTGCGTATTCCTCTTCACGCAGAGGGGCGTTACTTTACGCAGTTCCCTGTGCAATGCAAGACAGTATAACTTCGGGTTTACACTCTAAAAGGGTATACATCTTAGGATCTGATACATGCCCTAGCTGAAGCCTCCCTAAGCAAGGACTGGTTAAAAAGCCTGCCTGAATATGCTGCTGCCAGGTAATGTTCCTACCTGGATGCATGCCACTGAAGGGACAAAACTAGAGAACTCTGCAGCTTGTCACAGCAGTACAGTATTAAAGGGAACCCTAGCTAGTGGGTTAAGGGCTCAGTGGTACACCAGTTCTAGCTGGCACCCCAGGAGGAACCCATCACAAACATCTCCCATAATTCCTCCCCAGTGCAAAAGAAAGCAGAGAAACAATTCTGACACTACAACGTTTTCCAGTAAGAAACTCTCTCTCAAAAAGTCTTTGAGTCCAAATAAATTCAAATGTCTCTCTTTACTCATTCTAGATTTGTTGAAGGAATAATCAAAATGGGTTGCCAAGATTCTCTTTTAGAGGAGTAATATCAGAGAACCTGGCACTCAAAACCTACTTTTTAAAAATTCATTTTTAATGTATCTATTAGGAAAGGTACTAGAATTATTATCCTGAAATTCAAGCCTTCTGTTTAATCAAATTCCAAGTAAGACACAGAAAACAAACACAAGCTTCACAATGCCTGAGGGAATGTCTCAATGCTGAACTGGACAGACCATTTCAGAGAGAATCATATAGATATAGTTCAAGTTTCCCTGATCACCCACTCTCTTAGCTTATCTGCATAAACTACCAAAAAGAACAATGATAATTGTTCTAGTTGTGTTATTTTTATGTGCACACCTGTCTACTAGGATCTAGAATGAGACTAACATCTTGCTTCTCAAAGATCAAACAGATGGTAAAGAACTATGGTCAATACTAACAGCCAGATTCAAACCACTAACTCAATACACAATTAAAAACTCTTTCAAAGTACATTAAAGAATATGTATTAAGTAGACAAATTAGTATACTTTCAGAGTTGTGTTGGGTGTATGCAGGTTATTTTAATACACAAACTAAATCAGTGAATAATAAACTCCTACTGTAGACAAGCCCCTAACAAGCGAAAGCTACTGTTTTCATTATCACCCTAATGCAGTATCCAAAAACTCATAGGATGTGACACAGAACTTTTAGATTTTCTTCTCTCTTTTTTTTAAATGTCTGTTAATTGCATAATAAAACTAAACGGGATGTGACAGAACTTTTAGATTTTCTTCTCTTTTTTTTAAAATGTCTGTTAATTGCATAATAAAACTAAACCAAACATTAATTTAGAACTGAGAGCTGAAAAGGTGAATTTCTAATTAACTAAATTTCAGAAAATAGGCTTGAGAGTAATAGTAGTACAGTAAAACTCCAGCGGTCTGGCACTCCTGATGGTCCAGCACCATCTGGAACCCGGAAGTGCTCCGAAACTGACCAACGACTGACTCCGGGAAACCCGGGACAGAGCAGCTGGGGTGCTGCTGGGTTGGTCCCATAGCGCCAAGGGGCACATGCCCCCCACTCCACCCCAGACCCTCATAGCCTCCCCTTCCAATAGTCTGGCATATCTGATGATCTGGCACCCTCTGGGTCCTAAAGGTGTCGGATTATCGGAAGTTTACTGTAATACCTTGTGTCTTCTTTATAAACGTAAAATGGGTCGATTTGCTTTTTATTTTTAGGTAGCGTTTTCCTGATACTTCTACATATGATAGGGCTTGTCTATGTCAAGAGATTTTGTGACCAACATAGCTCCCCTCAGTGCTCTATTGCCCTATTATAAACCATTATTTATATGAGTACATGTTACCCAGGGGTAAGATGCATGAGAAAGTCATGGATTACATCAATGCACAATATCTAGACTAGTAGTTTGAATTATGCACCTATATATCATTATAGTTCCACCACTAACTAAAAATCCTTACTTCATGGCCTTATCTACTTGAGACAAAGCCTTTTTTTCTCCTTTGCAAATAATTTTTAGAAGCCAAGACAAAAGTTCACTTGGGTGGCCATACAGACTCCCGACTTCCTTGTATGACAGAAAGGTCAAGATAGGATCTCTGTAAATGGCTAGATGTACATGTTACTGAAAAATATGCATCTCTTTAGATTATATATTTTATTAAACAGATTTAGTAACATAGTACTGCACATTTTATTTTTCCTATACTTTCTTTTCCACATTTTAACAATGGTTTTGCTCTCCTAGTAAACACATTTTCAAAAACCAGATCTCCTCCATCTTTGTTAGTACTGTACCTTAGGTAACAGACAGAGAATTTCCATTTAGATTTTTATTTGCCATTTATACTTCTTTACGCATGTATAAAGAAAACTGTCAGTTTCATTTTATTTTTTTATGTCTGTGCACTAGCATAAGGAAATGAAAGAATTTTTAAAATCAAAACAAAAACCAGAACGGTTGTGATTCATTTTTAAAAATATATATATTTCCTTTTCAGGGTAACATGGCAATTATAATGTAGGCAAGTTAATGCTCCCTGGAACAGCAGTCTCTCTCTCACAATAGGTTTCACACACCACCAAAAGAGAGGCAGTAATGTGGGAAGCAGAGACCTAGCACTTGTGCCAACTCTGGTACCACTGATGATGCTACTGTGGAGTAGTGACAGATACGATCACAGAAAAAAAAAAAAAAAAAAAATGAGAATTGCAGCCAGCAACTGAACAAAACTGATCAACAGACCATAGCCCTTCCTCTACTTCCATACGCTACTGTCATACCACACAAAAAGAAAAATCCAACAAGTGAGCATCTGCCCACATGCAATTTTATGATCTTTTAAACTATCATTTTTTAAATAATTTTCAAAAATACAAACTCCAAAATAGTGCAAATCTCTCTCAAATGTGTCTGTGCACACATTCTATATAACATATAATTCAATTCACTGAGGTATCTTAAGCTAATTTCAGTTGGACAAAATAAATAGAAATTATATTCTACAATTCACATTTAATTAAGTAATACATACCTGGGGGTTTTCCAAGCACTTTAAATACTCTTCAAATGGCCCTTCTATAAACTGTAAAAATGACAGCAAGTGTTTACTACATTATTACTGTTTATTTGTATTGCCATAATACGTAGGAACCAAAGCCACAGACCAGGACCCCACTATGTTAGGTGCTATCCAAACAGAACAAAAAGTTGGTTCTTACCCCCAAAAAAGTACAGACTAAGCAGAAAATGAGACAACAGAATGATACGGAGAGACAGGTGCAGGCGTACAAAGAAATAATGAGACAATATTAGTCAGCAGGATAGGCAAAATTTTCAGCACAAAGCCTAATTGTTAAGTTCTTCATAAGGATCTTGGCTAAGGATTGTTTAAGAAGAAGAATGATGATGATCTGTGGTTATCTGCAAAGAGTACCTCCCAAGCACATGGTGTAGCATAGGAGAAAGCAAAAATGTACTTCTTTGAAAATGAAAGCAATAGAACTTTTTTATTTTTATTTTTTTTAAACGTGTTATCACTGGTGACCTTTACACATAAATAAAAGTATGAACTGAATATATTGTTCCTGCACCGACCTTTTTTTTTTAAAAAAAAAAAATAGATCAGCTTAAAAGTTATCAAAGATTTCTCAAATATAAACTAACATCTAAATACCAGATACCACTTTTGAGTACAATAATCAAATGCAATTGTAGGAATATTCTAGGATGTAAAATCATGCTCCGTAATTTTTTCAAAAGTTTGTGATTGCAGAATGTACATCCAAAGACATGTCATCTTTCTATACAAGGGGTTTTTTTCCCCCTATGGGACAACAAAGTGAGCTCTCTCTATACAAGGGTTTTTTTTCCCCCTATGGGACAACAAAGTGAGGTCACACATCACAGGGTTCACAGGCTGGGAAGTAGGCATGGCTTACTGGGGAAATCCTTGGTGAGCTTAAATACAAAAAGGAAGCTTACAAGAAGTGGAAACTTGGACAGATGACTAGGGAGGAGTATAAATATATTGCTCAAGAATGTAGGGGAGTTATCAGGAAGGTGAAAGCATATTGGAATTGCAGCTATCAAGGGATGTGACGGGTAACAAGAAAGGATTCTAGAGGCATGTTAGAAATAACAGGATGATCAGAAAGGATGTGGGCCCCTTACTGGATGAGGGAGGTAACCTAGCGACAGATGATGTGGGAAAAGCTGAAGTGCTCAATGCTTTCTTTGCCTCTGTCTTCACAGACAAGGTCAGCTCCCAGACTAATGCACTAGGCAACGCAGTATGGGAAGGAGGTCGACAGCCCTGGGTGGGGAAAGAACAGGTCAGGAACTATTTACAAGAGTTAAACATACACAAATCTATGGGTGCAGATTTAATGCATCCGAGAGTACTGGCAAATGTCATTGCAGAGCCTTTGGCCATTATCTTTGAAAAGTCGTGGAGATCAGGAGAGATCCCGGATGACTGGAAAAATGCAAATGTAATGTCCATTTTTAAAAAAGGAAGAAGGACAATCCAGGGAACTACAGACCCGTCAGCCTTACCTCAGTCCCAAGAAAAATCATGGAGGAGATCCTCAAGGAATCCATGTTGAAGCACTTGGAAGAGGGAAAAAGTGATCGTGGATTCACAAAGGGCAAGTCGTGCTTGACCAATCTGATTAGCTTCTATGATGAGGTAAACTGGCTCTGTGGATATGGGGAAGTCAGTGGACGTGCCAGACCTTGACATTAGCAAAGCTTCTGATACAGTCTCCCACAATATTCTTGCCAGCAAATTAAGGGAATATGGATTGGATAAACGGACTATAAGATGGATAGAAAGCTGGCTAGACTGTGGGGCCCAATGGGTAGCCATCAATGGCTCGATGTCAGGTGTGAAAGTAGAAAGAATTATACTGTAAGAAAAAGATGAATTGTGCTGTAATAATGGAATAAGTTGAAGGAATTCTGTTTGTCTTTTTAAGAGGAAGAAGAAAAGTATGTTAATGTTGATTGTAGGTATGCAGATCAAGGTGCTAGCCAATTTGGGCCTGAGTTTAACAGGAAAAGAAACATTAAGTGTTAGGAAACAATTCCAGATAATCAGGGAGATATAGCCAGGAGATTGCTGTGTGCTTAATATTGAAATGAAGAGTACTTGAGTAGCCTCACACTAATTATGTGAAGTTTTGCCCCCCTTTTAATCCTGTTAATTTTGGCTTCCTTTTGACTGTATAAAATCAAGGGGTTTGAACCTTGTAGGGTACTCACATTTTCTCCATGCATTTTAGCAAAGCTTTGCTGAAATAAACAGAGCAGTCTGCCAAATCTGTGAGTCCTGTCTGACTTTGACACAGGTTGGCGGTCTGTTTTTAGTGGAGTACTCTAAGGATCAGTCCTAGGACTGGTTTTGATCAACATCTTTATTAATGACCTGGATGAGGGGATGGATTGCACTCTCAGCAAGTTTGCAGATGACTCAGATGGGGAAGAGGTAGATATGTTGGAGAGCAGAGATAGGGTCCAAAGTGACCTAGACAGATTAGCGGTTTGGGCCAAAAGAAATCTGATGAGGTTCAACAAGGACAAGTGTAGAGTCCTGCACTTGGGACAGAAGAATCCCAAACACTGTTACAGACTGAGGATCGACTGGCTAAGTAGCAGTTCTGCAGAAAAGGACCCGGGGATTACAGTGGATGAGAAGCTGGCTATGAGTCAACCGTGTGCTAATGGCATATTAGGGTGCATTAGGAGGAGTACTGCCAGCAGATCTAGAGAAGTGATTATTCCTCTTTATTTGGTTTTGGTGAGGCCACATCTGGAGTAATGTGTCCAGTTCTGCTCCCCTCTTCCCTCCCCACTATAGAAAGGATGTGGACGCATTAGAGAGGGTCCAGTGGAGAGCCATCAAAATGATTAGGGTGCTAGAGCACATGAGCTATGAGGAGAGACTGAGGATTTGGGTTTGTTTAGTCTGCAGAAGAGAAGAGTGAGGGGAATCGGATAGCAGCCTTCAAGTTCCTGAAGGGAGGTTCCAAAGAGGATGCAGAAATGCTGTTCTCAGTAGTGACAGATGGCCAAACAAGGAGCAATGGTCTCAAGTTGTGGTGGGAGAGGTCCAGGTTGGATACTAGGAAAAACTATTTCACTAGGAGAGTGGTGAAGCACTGGAATAGGTTACCTAGGGAGGTGGTGGAATATCCATCCCTAGAGGTTAAGTCTCGACTTGACAATGCCCTGGCTGGGTTGATTTAGTTGGTATTGGTCCAGCTTTGGGCAGGGAGCTGGACTTGATGACCTCCTGAGGTCTCTTGCAGCTCTATGATTCTAGGTAAAGCCCAGCCCCTGCCCTTACCACTCCAGGCCCCAACCTCTGCCAGACCAGCCCTCCCTGGCTCCTTCGGGTGGGGGCAGGTCCAGGCCTGATCTGGCACGCCACGCAGCCCAGGAGGGGGAGGTTTGGTTAGGCTGTGGCCAAGTGGTGGGGGGTGGGAGGAAGGGGGCTTGGGCTGGTGCAGCTGGGGGCGGGGGGGGGAAGAGAGAAGGAGGCTAGAGAGAAGAGGTCTGGGCTGGCACCGCTGTAGCCCAGAGCTCAGTGGCCAAGGTCTCTTACCCCCTGCAAGAGAGGTTGGTGAGCGTAACAAGCAGGGGGCACAAGCCCCCTAGTTCCTTTTAAACTATAAATTGCTTGTAAGAATTAGAGAATGGACCCCTTACCAGGAAACTTCATTTCTTATATGTTTGAAAAACTCCATGTAACATGATCGTACCACATAATTAAAAAAAAAAAGCTCAGTGGCCAAGGTCTCTTACCCCCTGCAAGAGAGGTTGGTGAGCGTAACAAGCAGGGGGCACAAGCCCCCTAGTTCCTTTTAAACTATAAATTGCTTGTAAGAATTAGAGAATGGACCCCTTACCAGGAAACTTCATTTCTTATATGTTTGAAAAACTCCATGTAACATGATCGTACCACATAATTAAAAAAAAAAAAAAATCACTTAATCCATTAATATCAATGATTCCTTATTAGTCAAGTCGCACTCTTATTTATGGTAAAAGTCTAAAGCAAAAATGTGAGAAGTTACTTACATAATAATTATATTATGACTGATATCCAGTAAAAGGATATTACTTAGCAATCTAGTAAGAGTTTGGAGTAATACCACAGGAAACATAGGACTCAATAGCTTTTCTATTTTAGTATGGTGTGTACATATAAAGGGTGGGAGAGCACATTCCAAGAAATGTAGATCTTCCAACAAGCTCATGGGGTCTAGTTACTAGCTGTAACAATATGTATAAAACAATGTTAAAAAAGTACAGATTATATATTTAACAGTATTACAAGAAAATGTTTTCTGCTTTGTGTTTTGTTGACACAGCTCTCTCAATTTGCTAATAAAACTTCAAATGAAAAAATTACAAACATGGTTTGTGTCTTATCGGCAAAGGATTCTTGGTCTGTGTAGATGATAAAGCAAAGCAAACCAGACAAATGTATGATTTACTAGCCAAGTGCAGATCTGCCTAATAAGACAGGCTAGGAAAGATCGATATCAATTGAGAAAAATAGCAACTTCAAGAGCACAAGAAGCAGATATACAAGAATAAGACAACTGTTTTAAGAAATAATAGAACACATGAAAGCATTGAAAAGATGGTTGGCTTGAGTAAGGAAGAGAGCAGCATTTTTTTTTTATTTTTTTTTATAAACCGGACACAGATAAGAGATACCAATTAGAGTTTTAGTGGAATAATGCATTGGAAGGGTTTGAGGTCAGTTATATTGTCATATATAAATCATTGTATTTAGAATATTTAAAGATAAAGTAGTTTTATAATTTGTGTCTGAATTATGTTACAAGACAAGGTATAATGGAGTATACATAAAGGGGAGGCAGAGGTAAACGCAGAACATTAACCAGATCCAACCTGCCTGCATGACAAGTCAGGATAACTCAGGCATAGCCAACCCATTGAACGAAGAGAGAGAGAGAGCCGAAACAGCGGCAGAAAAAATGTGAAGAGCCGCACCAGAGTTTTGGGGGAGGGGGGTGAACGGGACGACACTGCCCCTTTAAAAACCACCAGTTAGGCTTTTTGGCCACATCAGGCTCCCGTCAGCCACCACCATCTTGCCAACACCATTTTGCTGCTCCAGATGGCTCCTCTGCACCCGATAAGCACAGGGAGCTGGGGACCATTTGTAGGGGTGCATGGGATAGTTTCACAAGCCATGGGGGGAGGCTTCGCAAGCTGCACTTTGAGGGGTGAAGAGCCACATGTGGCTCCCGAGCCATGGGCTGGCCACCCCTGGGATAACTGATCATTCCTCTCTCCTGATGTTTTATTAATGCTTTTGTCTTCGATAAAATGGTGGTATACTGATTTAAAATTTAGTAGTGAAGCTTAGTAATTGGCATGGACTATACTTTTCACCCAACATAGTGAACAAGCTGCAATTCCTTTTTAGAGTCACTTGCTTTAAACACCTACTTAAGTTGGACCTAGGTATTAAAAACCCTGCTACAAATAGCAGTACAGACCTAGGAAAGGAAACAAAGTTAATGCTTAGGAAAAAATTGGCATTTACTTACCGCTTCAAATTTTTCTCTGTTTTTCCGAAGATAATTTATACAGGCATTCCTAACATCAACATGGCGAGATTGTGAGTGTAACACCTATAGAAGGAGGGGGAGGGGGAATTAAGAGAAGAGCTGTGATTTCTTAATCTCCGTGGAAATTAATGGTTGGATGATTTAATGAATATCAGTTTAATGTAAGCTTGGAAAGAATCCCATTTTTAAATGAATTTTGGATGAATATTTCAAAATAGACAACTGTATGAATATTACTTAAAATTAGATTTAAGTCAAACCGTACAACGCATTTCTTAGCAGAACTGACAGCATAGCAATAGTCCATCAGACTTTGTTTCCCCCTTTTCCAGTATCACCACCTTAGAAGAAAACTCCCATCACCAGAATAACTTTGAACAAAGAATTTAGTCTATAATTTTAGTTAGTGGAAGAGAAATGTGATCAATGTAACAATACCACTCAAAGTGAGGAGACCTAGGTCAGAATCTGAAGCATTAGTCCTACCACAGCAGTTTATTTGTACTTAAGACACTTTTCTTTTTTCAAAATAGGTTGGGGGGGTGGGGAGAGACATGACATGAATATCATTATCTTACTCAAAAGCTTCAGCAAACTCATTCACAATCTAAAGCAGGGAAAGGCTTTAAAGTTGTTTCCTGGATGGTTTTTATACAAGGTGACTATTCCCAGTTTGTGCTAATTTTGCACTAAAAAATCCTTTTCTGAGACTGGGAAGTTCAAAACTTCAACCTAAAGTCCCTAGATGGAACACGAGGAGTGTGCACACATGCCAGTATGTCAGACTCTAACCTCCCTGAGATGTGGTGCTTTCCCCTTGACACAGACAACGTTTTTTTAATCCTCACTCCCTTGTTTTTCATCCTTATTAACACTCACTAATGAGATCCATCCTCCGCCCCACCCCCCAGCTATCGCCAGCGTTTACGTGCAAGTACTGCTGGTTACTTCAATTAAACAAACTACTTACCTGCTCAGCTACAGCCCTGAAAAGACAGGATCCATCCTTGGCAACCCGCTTTCTATATAAACCCTGAGATCGCAGGTAGCTGTCCATAGAAGCGTCCCCAGGCGCTTCCACGCTGCTACGAGGATGACTCTGCTCCCCGCCATCTGATTTGCAGGCAGCCTCCATATTTACTGCTTAATACCGTAAAGAATCACTGCTCCTCTCCTAGCCCCACATGGCTACGACAACAGCTCTTGGGAATGAAATGTACTTCCTTCTTCAGCAATCGGGGCAGCAGCAGGAACACCAGCTGGCCTTACGTTGTCAAATTTCACGTGAGACTCATGGACGGATTTTTACCGCATAATTTGGATTATTAGCTCTTTAAAAGAGTCGATTTCTGGCCTCTCAAGAGGGCCCGACAGCTGTTCTCGGAAAGTAATCCGAGGGGTCCGGCTCCGACCCCTTCTTCAGGACGATGAGTATTGATGGCTTCTCTTGTACACACCCAAGCTGTAAAGCGGAAAACAGAAGAGAAAGGACATGTGCTGCTACTACTGCCAAGAAATGGTAACCTAAAGTTTGTTTTCACTTTCAACTCGATGCCAGAGATGTTACTGGGAGATGTAGTTCTAGAGAAACAGGAAGCGGTGGGGGCTCCTATAGGAAGAGGATAGAAGGGACGTGCTCTGTACGAACCATGAGCACACAGTCCTGACATACCGTGCTGTCTCCACGCTATCCGAGGAAAAACGCTTACGACAGTGAGTGAACTAAAGTTTCAAAACGAACTACTTACACTGCCGCCGCCTTTCTAAATACTTAACAGGTTAGGACTCCAGTATCAGGTCTAGCAAATTGCCAATTTATGGTGCAGTTCAGGTTTCGATTCTTTTTGTTGCTCCTCCTACCTTAGTGCTGCTTTATAGCTCAAAATAAGAGGGAACGCCTACATTTTGTAGCACACGGGCTTTTTGCCTTAACTAGTTCATGTCTTGGCTTTTATAGCAAAAGCGCTGCTGGGACTTCCATGGACACGATTATTATTGAGCCAATGAGAAATGCAATCATTAGTTCTGGCGTTGTCGCCATACAAGCAGGCTACAGTTCCTCAGCTAAACTGAATGGCTTACTTTTCATGGGGCATTTCACAAGTTGTTTTTAAACCGCCTTCAGATCAGAAGCAAGACAACTGAAAAGGTCACTTTCCGGTTCTACAGCTTGTTCAAGGTGGTACAGTTATCCAGTAAGCAGTGTAGAACTAGTTAACCTGTAATGCCCATGATTACAGCCAGTCCACGTATGGTGCTCTCAAAAAGCAGTGGAAAAAACAGTTCGTCCTTTACCATAAGGCACGTTGCATTTTTGCTTTTATTGCTAGCTCAAACTTTAAACTGCTTGGAGACCTAGCAAATACAACCCCTCCTCACCCCATAACGTTTCTTGGCAGCGTCTCACTTTTCATTTAGCATTCTTCCAGGAACGGGTGTCCTTTTTATCTTTCCGCTGAAGTGTTTTTAGCCAGACATTTCAGTGTTGCTTTAAGGAAAGGCAAATCCCAGACAACCTCAGTGAAGTGATTGGGAGACCAGTAACTACTGTGAGAAGAGTTATGGGGGAGGAGAGCCGACAGACAGGAGGAGGGGGGGGAGTCACAAGCGAGGCGAGACGTACATCAGTTGTGCTAGGTAGATACACTGAGCGGGACACTCTCACACCAGTTTCCCTTGCAAGCAAAGTTCACTTATTTCCTTTTTTAGTCCATCAGAAACTAGGCACCGAGGCCAATACGCGCGGTAAGCAGCCCCGCCGCCCCGCAGCTGGAACACAGCGCGAACTTAACGCTGGATCGCCCAAAGCGAGGCGAGACGTACATCAGTTGTGCTAGGTAGATACACTGAGCGGGACACTCTCACACCAGTTTCCCTTGCAAGCAAAGTTCACTTATTTCCTTTTTTAGTCCATCAGAAACTAGGCACCGAGGCCAATACGCGCGGTAAGCAGCCCCGCCGCCCCGCAGCTGGAACACAGCGCGAACTTAACGCTGGATCGCCCAAGTAACCCCCCCCCCCAAAAAAAAGACACAAACACACAAATGCTCCAGATTTATTGTCAGACCGGGCAAAAGCCACCCGCTCCAGCCTCCGCTCCCCCCCAAACGCAGCTCCGTGCTGGGCCTCTGGCCGCCCGCAACGATTTCCAGGGGCTGAGGCCGGGCGCGCCCTTAGCGCGGCGGCGAGGGCCGGGCAAGGCAGCGATGTTGGGCCTGGGCCCGGGGGGGTAGCGTGTGTGTCACTGCGGGGCTCTGGCCGCGCTCACCCAGCACGACCCGCCTGCGAGCGAGGGGCGGCCCAGCTGCGGGGAGCCGGCGGGCGAGGCGCTGACTCCAGCGCCCTCCCCCTGAATTGCCCCTGCGCAGTGACTGGCACTTACCGAGAGAGGGGCGGGCGCAGCAGGCTCGGACTCTCCCTTCCTCCTCCTCACCTCGCGAGGGCCCCTGGCCAGCGGCGGGGCCGGGGCTTCAATCTCCCGCGTCGCCTTCCTATGATGCTGCCGCCACCCCCGTCGCCTGCTGTTGGTTTGTTCCACCGGCCACACCCGTGCGAGGAGCCGTGGCTTGCACCATGCGCGAGGAGAGGGGAGATATTTTTTGTGCTCTACGGGCGCGGTGGCAAATCGAGTTCTTCCCATACACGCGTCAGGAAAGGGGTGTCTCACATGCACCCCCCACGGAAGCAGCTAAATGGTACAGTCCGGAGCGTGCAGCTGGTCTCAGGGGTCTGTCTGAGGCGCTCCAGTGCGGTAGCTGCCCTGGCTTTCAGGGCAGGATTAGTCGCTGGCGTGGGGCTATCGTCCTGCTGCTGTTTACATGGGCACGTTTCACTGGCTAAACTGACAGAATTAGACCAATATAAGCCTCATGCACTAAAGCTTGTTTGTTTAAATTCCTTACGAAACAACACAGACTAGACTAGGCTAGAAACTAGCTCTTCCACCAGAAACCGGGAGTCCGCCTGGGGTTTTATTCTGTTGTCTTTGTATGTAGGCTTGGGAGAGTTTGATTGTTATTTTTTATAATTTTGGCAATTTAAGCACTTTTAAAAGAAAATTAGCATCCCTTCTCCCGGTGGTCCCACAGTAATTAATGATAGTAGATGCTGAGATTCAAAAACTAAAAACTAAAATATTGAAGCACAAACTGTCAAAATCACATGGCAAAATATACTAAGTAAATCAAGTTCTCGAGCAACAGTTCTTTTCCTTTGCCTACTTGTACATTTTCATACTTAGAGAAATATATTTTGTTGATGTGCCCAGAGTCGAAGTCATGTTTATACCAACACAAATCTAATTCTTCCAAGCCTGCCTATGTTTTAATTCATTTATGGTATGACTTTCCTTTGTAACAAGCCATTAGTGAAAAGTAGCAAGAAAACAGTTAAGTCTAGAGGAAGAGTGTGAATCTCTCCGGAGGGATGGAACAACATTATTTATTATTATTTGTTACTTACAGTAGTACCTAAACACTTCAGCTGAGATCAGAGCTACTTTGTTTAGGCACAATACAAATATACAGAAAGAGTTTCTGCTGAAGATAAAGAATTGTGGGAAGGGATATAACCTACAATCAGAATGTAATGATCTACAAGTGTCATTAGATGCCACATTTTTGTTTGTGTTTTGTTTTAGTGGCAAAGCAACTGCAGATGAAATTCAGTGTAGTTTTGCAATTAAAGTATATTAGAACTATTTGAACCGTTTATAAAGAACATAAGAATGGGCATACTGGGTCAGACCAAAGGTCCATCTAGCCCAGTATCCTGCCTGCCAACAGTGGCGAATGCCAGATGCCTCAGAGGGAGTGAAGAGAACAGACAATCAAGTGATTCATTTCCAGCCTCTGACAAACAGAGATAGGGACACCATTTCTACCCATTCTGGCTAATAGCCAGGGCTCGACAATTGATGAAGAGCCAGGTTTGGGCGATCTGCGCATGCACAGAATGCCGGACAGCGCAGCTGGCGAGCCCTGCTAATAGCCATTGATGGACCTAACATCCTTGAATTTATTCAGTTCTTTTTTGAACCCTGTTAAAGTCCTGGTCTTCACCACGTCCTCTGGCAAGGAGTTCCACAGGTTTACTATGCACTGAGTGAAGAAAAATTTCCTTTTGTTTGTTTTAAACCTGCTGCCTACTAATTTCATTTGGTGATTCCTAGTTCTTGTATTGTGGGAATAAGTAAATAATTTTTCCTTATTCACTTTTTCCATACCACTCATGATTTTATAGACCTCTATTATATCCCCCCCCCTTAGTCTCCTCTTTTCTAAGATGAGAAGTCCAAGTCTTTTTAATCTCTCTTCATATGGGACTCGTTCTAAACCCCTCCTCATTTTTGTTGCCATTTTCTGAATCTTTTCCAATGCTATCACATCTGGCTACCATATCTGTATGCAGTATTCAAGATGTGGGCATACCATGGTTTTATATAGAGGCAATAAGATATTCTCTGTCTTATTCTCTATCTCTTTTTTTAATTATTCCTAACATTCTATTTGCTTTTTTTGACTGCTACTGCACACTGAGTGGATGTTTTCAGAGAACTATCCACAATGACTCCAAGATATCTCTCTTGAGTAGCTGTAGCCAAATTGTCCCCATCATATTGTATGTATAGTTGGGATTATTTTTTCCAATGTGCATTATTTTACATTTATCAACATTAAATTTCATTTGCCATTTTGTTGCCCAGTCACTTTGTTTGGTGAGATATTTTTGAAGCTCTTCACAGTCTGTTTTGGTCTTAACTATCTTGAGCAGTTTGGTATTATCTGTAAATTTTGCCACCTCACTGTTTACCCCTTTCTCTAGCTTATTTATAAATAAATTGAATAGGATTGGTCCCAGCACAGACCCTTGGGTGACTCCACTAGTTACCTCTCTCCATTCAGAAAACTTACCATTTATTCCTACCCTTTGTTTCCTGTCATTTAACCAGTTATCAATCCACAAAAGGACCTTCCCTCTTATCCCATGACTACTTACTTTGCTTAAGAACCTTTGGTGAGGGACCTTGTCAAAGTCATTCTGGAACTCTAAGAATACTATATCCACTGGATCCCCCTCAAAGAACTCTAGTACATTAGTAAGGCATGATTTCCCTTTACAGAAACTATGTTGACTTTCCCCCAACTTATTCATCCATGTGTCTGACAATTTTATTCTTTACGATCGTTTCAACTAATTTGCCCAATACTGATGTTAGGCACACTGAAACTGTAGTACAAGGACCCAAATAGGGATGTAAATGGTTATCCAGTTAACTGGTATGCCTCACCCTTAACAGGTGAGGCTTACCAGTTCCTGTTAACTGGTAGGGGCTGAAGCAGCTCCCCATGCATTCCAGCTCCCCATGCTCCAGCCCCACAGGGCCCACTGAAGA